ACACACACACACAGACAGACAGACAGACAGACAGACAGACAGACAGACAGACAGACAGACAGAGTAAAAAAACTGTTGCAGTTAAATCCTCCTGACTAAGAATAGGTAAGAAATTTGTTTGGGTTCAGCTGCTGATGAGAGCTTTCTAAAATTCACACTCCACCCCCTCCAGCATTTCAGTAGAAAGAACATGAAATTTTAGAAATTCAAAATGTGCAAAGAAGGAACTGCAAGCAGAAGCCTGACATGTTTGGCTACTTAAGGCAAAGGAGGTTTCTTGCTTAAAAATCTGGCTTTGAGCCCTTAGTACTGAGTTTGGGTTGCTGCTTTTTTTCTGGAAGGCTCCCCACCCTTTAAAGCCACATGGGAGGCACACCCAACATTATCCATGGTAGAAACAGCTCTGCTTATTGAATTTGGACAGTGCAGCGGACTGAGAGTTTTGTACCATGTATTTTTGAAGAACAGTTTTATAATAAATGAGATGGAATGAACACAGAGTACAGTATTTTAAACATTTGAATATGGAGGGCAGCAAAATTGATGGGTTTAGCCACACCTTCCCCTGATAGGACACGAAGTCTAATAATCTGTTTGGTCTGAGTTCAAGCTTAATATAAACAACAGTTTTTATCAACTACACTCACGTATTAGTACTACTTTTTCAAATCTCCACAGCAACACTAAGGGATAAGTATGGCTGAGCAATGGTTCTCATAGCATCATAAAATAATGAAGTTGGAAGGGACTTATAAGGCCATTGAGTCCAACCCCCTGCTCAATACCAGAGTCATTTAAGCATCTCTGGTTGGGTGGACATTGGAGAAGAGGCTTCCCTTGGTGGCAAAACCTCAGAGGTGAAGAGGGCAATGCTCAGGAGAATAAACAGCACAGATTTCAGAATGAGGTACTTAATTCTTATATGCCACAGAATGTAGCTGTTCTGATGTAGTAGTTGTGTTGTTTAAGCAGCATACTACTGATATGTATGTATGTATGCACAGAGCTCTGTCTTTGAAGGAGTGACCCCTCTGTTAATCAAGTTTCGTTGCAGGAAGCATCTTTAGGTTAGGGTATTAGAGCACTGATGTTGAGTTGCATGATGAAATTGGTTACAGACATGTAACGCTGCAGGCTAGGTTAGAACAAAAATAACTTCGCTGTATCTAGAGGATATCGCAGTACTTACAGAAATACGGGATCGGTGAAGTAATGGGTATTGCAGTCTTCCACCAAGTAGCAGAGATTAATGGTGGTAGAGGTATAATTGCAGCTCCGTCATGGCTAGAGAAGAACACTCTTCCTGTCCCTCCCGTCTTGCATAAAAATCAGCAAAATGACTACACAGCAGCTTCCCCATCACATTATCCAAACCATGGCAGGTAATAAATGCAGTAGCAGACACATATCTTGGATGTTTTGTTTCAGTCTCTTAAGGCCATTTCTTCTTCAGTTGAAATGACCTTAAGAACAGATGACTAGGGAACTAGGAATGACCCTCATCAGCACCCAAAGCTGAAAATACCAAAGATTCATAGGTGCAAATATTCAATAATAAAGTACTGAATAATATTCTGCAGTACAAGGAATAGTATCCAACACACTCCATGATTCCACTTTCTTTGAAGGTAGCCGTGCAAGAATCAACAGTGTAGTGTGTTGGGTCTAAAACTATCTCAGGGTGGAGTGGGGAAAAGAGTTGGCAAAAGTGTGCTAAATGTGAAAACAGCAAAGCAATTTCGCAGGAAATAGGGAGGGCCTTTCACACAGCTATTGTAGAACATGGTGGCCATGGAAAACTGTTGAGCAATGCCAGCTGGATTGAGGCACATGCCAGATGCACAAAAGGTGAAGCTGGCTATGGTATTGCTGATACCCCTTTACATGTGAAGGAACCGCGGCATGTGCCCATTCAGGAGGCCTTCATAGCATTTGTAGGCATTTTCCCTGTGATAACCATAAGCCTGCAGGACACATCCTGAGGCATGTAGTGGTACATGTTTGAGCAAATGTCAGCACAGGTCAGAGAAGAAGCGGCATAAGGGCTACCAAGAAAAAGAAGAACAAAAAGAGCACAAACTGTGAATGATCTGCATAGTTCTCCTGATCTTCATGCAGTGCCTTGCCAGCAACACAGTGGTCAGCATGTGATGGCTGCTGATAACATAGTAAATAAGCTACGAACATAGGAATTTATATTATACAGTGAAACCTGCCCGAGGCTTCTGCGTGTCTGGAGGTCTGGCTAGGAAAGGGAAAGCGTGAACAAAATGTTCCGAATCTTGCTTTACTGTTACGGGACCAAAAGCAATATTTGTTTTCTTTCTTTGATGATGAACTGTGACTTAGACTGTTTTGTATTATTGTTGTAGACAAAATGTGGATTGTTTTCACTCCCCCGCCCCCAATGTGGGTGCTTTTCTTCCTAATGTTTGTTATAAAAATAAAAACCTTCTGTCTGACTTCCTCCCCCCCCTTTTTTTTTCCTAAATATGAATCAGGTGCCATGGCATTTGCCAACAGGAGCGATATAGTTAAGGTTACCCTTCGAGACACACTCAGCGGGGGGGGGGGGCTAGGTCCCATGAACGTCATGGATCTTAAGAGCAGGGTGGACATGCTCAGGACTGAGCTGCCCCTTCTGCCCCAGCGTTCTGCTGGTTCTCTCCACATAACTGATGCTGGTCTCATACTATTTCTCGTGGACATGTGTTGTGTTCTGTTTGCATTTAGGCAACTAGTGACCTTCCAGAGGATAAAAAGTCTATTTGTTCCCATCACTCCTAGTCCACGTAGCAATGATGACAAATATTGGGAGCTGCAGTTCCACAGGATCTATAGGTCCCAGAACTACTGACTACGGGTTTACAGAGGAGAAGCAGCCTGTATAAAAAGAAAGGGAGGCAGTGGAAAGGGGCCCCAGAAGAGAACAAAGAAAGGGAATGAAAAGATGCCCTCTGATTACATATGCTAGATCTACCACTCCTAGCCCTGATTTTGACTAATGGAGCTCCCAAGAAAACAGTCATTTTGAATGGAGGCAGGTAGATCCCAAATTCAGCTACAAGTCCAGTAAGAGTTAATAACTTGGTGTACAACTGGTAATGTCTACTGCAACTTTCTTGGAGCAATTTGCCTCCAAAAGTTATGCTATTTGCATAGCTATGCAAGAGGATTATGGCCTATTTATGCTAAATGCTAGTGATTGTAGCTAATTGTTTTAGAATAAACCTGAGAAAAAGCTGTCCATGTGACAAATTCTCTGGGTTATACATATTTCAGATTCTGCATCATGCTATGCATACTTGTGCTACAGGAGAGATGCACAAAAGGTCAGAAGGGCATTTTCTACTTTCTTTCACTGATGGATATGCTGTGGTCTTGCAGATATTTTTGACCACTCTGTTCTTGTTAGTGGTTAAAATGTTGGGCTGGTGTTTGAGAATTGCAGATTCTAGTATTCACTGAGTGATGGAACTCACTTTGGGCCAGTCATGCCCTTCTGCATGACCTACATCATAGTACAGTTGGGAGGACGAAAGAGTTTTTTGGGGGAGGAGAGCAAGGTACATGGCCTTGAGCTCAGTGGAGGAAATCCAGGTCATAAGTGCAGCAAAAAAGAATGAATGTTCTCATCAAGTCCTAGCCAGGATAGCTTACAGTGAAGGACTATAAGAGCAGCAATCAAAAAAGCATCTAAATGTATACATATCTGATCTATATTATTCTAGGTGAAAGCATGCATAACCATTGTTTGTATCTGACATAGCTCCTTGACCCTGAAACCTAGGCACCTGAAATTTGCCATGCATTCTGAAGAGCCCCTTGTGGTGTGCATTCCAGGTCTTTTTTTAAAAAATGGATCAATTTATATTAATATAAATCTCCCTGTGGGATTCCCAGTATGGTGTAGTGGATAAAGTGATGGACAGGATTCAAATCCCCCTTTGGCCATGGAAACTCACTGGGAGAGCAGAACTGGTAAGAGCACACCTTAAATACCTCACTTTCCAATAAGTCAGTTGTGACATGACAGCACAGAACACACAAATCTGCTTGAAAGCCCCATTAGGGTCACAATAAGTCAGTTGCGACAGACAGCACAGAACACACAAATCTATCCATATCAGGCAGTATCCTCTTTAGTCACTAGCTGGCAGACTTGCCTCACTATCTAAGAGGATGTTATCTCCTACTCTGCTCTGGGCACATTTATTCTTCTCGAAGGCCTTTGGGCAGCAACATGTGGGCCAGAGGCACCGTAGGGGAAACAATGCATCAGGGCAACTTCTATTTACATCTTCAGGATTCACTGATCTATTCAAAAAGTCTTATCTTCTGCTTTCTAGTGAGCATGAAGAGTAACAACGACTGAGTGATCACACTGATGAAATGGAGAAAAGATGAGCAAGAAACGGGGGAGAAGGCTGTAAAAGATCAGCTAGGTGGGTAAGCAGACAAAGGGTACCCACCTCCATGGAAAAGCATCAGCATCAGGGAGGTTGGTGGAAGGTAACTGAGATGGACATGAGGGAAAGAACAGGGTGGAAGGAAGTATGAGGTTTCTAAGCCATGTAATGCTGAATCTATGCAAGTGAGAAATAAGTTTTTTGTGATTAAGTTGTATTGGTGTGTGTTTTCTGATGTAGTGTAACTGTGACATGCTTTTTTGTAATGAGTCATGTTTATTTGCTACTTCTAGAATTGTGGAGGATTAATTTTCTTAAAAAGTAATTATGTAAAAAAAGTAGCATGTTAAAGTTGTGGGCAATTCTAACACTCCGTTTTCATGGGGGGAAAACTGAGGGGAAAATGAGCATGGCCGTCTAAAATGTTTCCATTGTACACAACTCACATGATAAGCAGTCAATACTAAATACTAAACCAGAACAAGACTGAGATAACAACAGTGGGGATACCTTATGTTCTGCAGTACAGTAATATGGACACTGCTCCTAAATCATATCATAGCAAAGGGACCTTTCCCTAGCTTCCAGTTTCAGGAGACCAAGACTCCACAAGGTCCCTTCTTCAAACAACATTGCAAGGTTGAGGGCTTGTAAATTGCGGCAAGAGACCTCTGCACTGTGCTGGACTGGATTCCTAGAAACTGCTCCAAAAGGAACGCACCAGAGACTGTGTAAGATTTCTTTGTCTTCTGAGCAAACTCAGGTTTCCTTCAAACTTATAAAACTCCCCATGTCTACTGCTTACTTCTGTACATAATCTTTCAAAATTCTTAAAGAGAAAGAAACAGTAGCCACATTTAAATTTACACATCAATTCTAAGACAGCAAGCCAGCAGATGTCCTCAGTACAGCAACTGAAGTGTGCAGTAGCTGCAAAGCTAATAATAATAACTACATGCCATTAAGTTTATTCTGACTTGAGCCCAACCCTCTGTTTAATGCAGGAATCCAAGTTAAAGTATACAGTATCTGATAGATAGTATCTACGTTTATCTTGAATGCTCAGCACCTCCCAATACAGTATAATGGTTTCCACTATCGTACAGTTCCAACTGTTAAGTCTTTCTTGATATTCAGCTGAAATATGGCTTCCTGTAACTTGAGCCCATTATTATACACAGGCTAGCTCTTATCTCTTTCAAAGATTTATCCCACTTCCCAAAACATCCAACAAGTTGGAGCTCTGTAGTTACATGATTACAGAGGTCCAACCTCTTGGATATTTTGGAAGTGGGAAAAAATTTTGAAAGGAGGAAAGTTGCACATGAATCAGTATTTGATGGCTGAGTTTAAGGAAATAAGTGGATAGATACCAAGTGTCATTATCTTTTCTCAAGGAGTATATCATACCCATCAAGAAGATTTTGGGAGGAGTAGCCAACTGGCATTGTTCACCCCTTGGAGGATTGTTAAATTTGACAAAAACTAGCTGACATCTGCATTTTCAACAATGCCATTGAATTATTTTTAGATTTTGGAGTAAATGGTTGCTATGCTCCCCCTCCTCACAACCTTAGTGATCACATAGGAGATGGAGAAACCAGCCTTCCTGCATTTGGGGACTCTGTTGCTCATTCTGTTCAGGGCCTCTACCCCAAAGTCTTGCCCCGAATGTACAACTGTGCATTTCGGAACATCACAATTCAATAACTTCTTACATTTTGTCCTGGCAATCCTAGTCAGTGTTGAAAGAGTTAATTAATTCTGTCTCCAAATCAAATTCCTCATAGAAGTTTTAAAAAAATAAACTCACTGAAATACTGTCTATAATAACCCCTGCCAACACAGATCAGCTCTACTTCCCCCTCAGCTTTCAATTTCACAGCCATTTTTGTCCCTTTAAACAAATGAGAGAAGTTAAGCGGTCCTTATGCAAAATCTAAAAACAAGGATAGGGACAGTCTAATCAGAGGATCATCCATCCTAATTTTTGAATTTTACTTTTTTTGGGGGGGGGTTCTTTAATGACTGCACAAGCTAAATGCTCACAAATTCCTTGAAGAAATTATTTTGCTTCCCAGTACTGGTTTTTATTTGTTTTACAAACCCAGACCATTGAACAGGATAAAATGTATACATTTGGGTCATGGAATAGCACAGTTGAGTATTTTTTTTAGGGGCGAGAGGAGTTCCCACATACATCCCCTCTGGTTTCCTTACTGCAGGATGTCAGGCTTCAGCAAACCTCACATACAGCATTCCCTTCTCTCCCCACCCTTCAGTTGTCCTTCAAAAATGGTTTCACATTCAGGTTCAACATTTCCTTTTTTACTTTTCATACCGGAAAGGATTTCAGGCTCTTGTCATTTACTGAAATGAGAAAGAGATGCAAATACAGAACTGGGGAAAGGAGGACAAATTCAGTTAAGGAAAAATGAGGAAGGAGCCTCACATTTCAAATTAGGCACATTATTATTAGCAAGCTGGACTTCCCTTTCCTATTAAATGTATCAGGTACTGTACAGGGAAAACTTAGCAGAAGGGTTAGTGCTAAGTTAGGTTAGGAATAATCAAAATGGCCTTTTCTACTCCAGTCTAGAATGTGTTTAGTCATTATTAGCCCCCCTCAAAAGTCAGAAGAGTGTGATCCTCACCCATGTAGTACAAGAAGGATACAGGGTGTCACTTGATAGATTCAAAGCTCAATTTATATATACATATTTATCAAGACTCAATTTACAATGGCATGGTTCATGTGGAAATCCAATCTGCCACCGGGAAACTTTTGTTTTGGGCTCTTTACTCCCACCTAATAAGATTAGTGCTTTGATTTTAGCATATGCCATGCATTTAACTTGAATTAGTATAGTTTTAATTTTCAACTCTCAAGAGTTTCCACTTAATCAAGGAACCTGGGTTAGGCAATGTCCAGATCAGTTCTTGTTTTAAGAGTTTCTTCTGTGCAACAGAGTGCAAGCATAAAACAAAAGTAGAGGCACCCATTAACCTTCTTCAGCGTGAGGTGTTTTGGCCATAATAAATCTTCTAATTTACATATCTTCCTGTTGTTAAGGAGGATGAAATGGGGAGGCTAAAGAAGCTACAGAAAAAAATAAGAGAGAATCAGTATTTGACTTGCAAGTTCACTTAATTATATTCACTGTATAGCAAGAAAGCACATTCTCCAAAGGCGGAGGGAGGGCAGAGGGTTGCCACTAGCTTTAACTTCGGGAGGGGGGGGTGTCGGTGGGGACCCCTGTGACACAACTAGGAATTCTTCCCATATTTTGTTTCAAAACAAAATTTAAAACTGCAGTTAAACTTTAGGGAGATATTATACTGTACTCAGAATCTTTATTGCTGCCACATTATACAGAAGATTCTTTCATTAACAAAAACCTAATTTGAAAGTGCATGCAGAGAGAGTTCTAGTCTCATGTCTGTCACTTGCTGGCTCCACATGAACAAAGACTATCTGAAGAAGGGAGCTTTTAGGAATCTCGTGACACAGTGGTTAAACTGCAGTACTGTAGCCAAAACTCTGCTCATGGCCTGGGTGCAATACTAAGTAGCTATCTTGAGATTCACTCAGCCCTCCAAAGTCAGCAAATCTAGTACTGTACCTTGCTTGCTGGGGCTGGGGAGAATGTATAGGCCCAAAGTGATTTGAGTGCTATGGGGTGGTATATTAACAGCACACTTTGCTTGTTACTGTTCATGGAGGCCTTGTCTACAACTGTGGATCCTGAGAAAGGTTCTACATAAAGCAGATTGTCTCCTCATGCTGTTCCCTCTATTCTTCAAACAACCCCTTTTTTGAACACATGAATTCAGTCTGTCTTCTAATGTAAGAAATTATGGCCAGAAGACTTGATCCAAATAATTTAAATAAGCTAATTAGCCAGTCAACAAAACTCAGGAATCCCAGCAAAGCATGGAGACTCAACAGCATTATCCAGAAGTGAGGCTAAATTTACAGCAAACTGGGTTTACCATGGCCATAAGAAAAGCACATACCTCAAGCAAGAACTATTTTAATAGTATGAGGACGCGTATGATACCAATTCATAGAAACTCCACATTCATTCCAAGGCCTGATTAATTTTAAGCAATGCAGTTAATTGCAGATCATAGGTTTCAATTCAAGATGTATACTGGTGGTTTAGCCTTCATGTAATTCTTGTCTCTGGCTGGAATACTGCGTAAGAGAACACCACCACTCGCCCATGAAGTCAAGCAATTTTAACATTTCATCCTGAACATGTACTTCTTAAAATCCTAATTACTTGACAATGTTGGTCTATATTCAAGCTTGATATGAACACCTGCCCAGTACCAAATCCATTCTGTGATCGCTCATTTTGTTTTCCTTTCCCGTACTTTAAAAAAAAAAAAACTTACCTTTATAAAGAAGACACAGAAGTCATTTGAATACACACACACAATTGAGAAAACAACTGCTGAACACAGATGTACAAAATGAAACCTCCAGAATAGGAAATGCAATAGAAGTGTATATTTCTCTATAAACACAAGATTGTTCTACCAGATTCTCTAGCTATGCAGTTTCAGTTGTCATTGTCTAAGCATTTCCAGGTTTGGGGACAAGCCTGCTCTGCTTTGAGAAAGAGCCCCAAACTGTCACTGTTACTATTCTCTGAACAGGCAGTACGAGTCTTCTTTCCTAAAACATTCCTTGGTGTCCACAAAGTAATAATGCATATTCTGCAGTTCAATTCCCACAGACCACACAGCGCTCAGCTGCTAGTACTGCATATTGTGTACATGTGTGTGTTTGTGTGTGTGTAATGAGGCAATATAACCTGGTTTGGTTCTCAGTCTCAAACCTAAATATAGCAAAGTCTGTTGTAACATACATCCAAATGATTACTCATTTGTACTCATCAAGTACATAACATCCAAATGATTACTCTCAAGAAAGCTGCCATTCTGATTCTTTAACATTTTTACCTTAGTTTCCCTAATGCATTCCACATTCAGAATATTGAAACTAGATCCATGAATGTTCTTGGTAAGCCAAGGATCAGAATACCTGCAAATTTCACAAAACTTTTTCTAACCAGTACCAACACACTGCTCTTCATATATATGAAACCTAGGCCAATTATGGGGGAACTGCGGCCCTTCAGATATTACTGGACTTCTCTGCTGATGACTGGCACAGATGAGGGTGGGGGTCCAACAACATCTTGCTGGAGAGTCATAGGTTCATCACCTCTGTACTGGGCATGCATGTATGAAACAGTGGAGTCTTACGTATGAGCCAAACTCCATCACTCTAGATCAAGCTAGAAATGGAGCACCATATCCTTTCAACATCATGTCAGAAAATCCTGACAACTTTTTAAAGGGCATGATCTGAATGCACTCCGGGGCATTGCAATAAATATGATTTTTTTTCTGCTTTGAGAGTCAAGATATGTATGCAGCACAAGCCATATTACCAAGCTTCCTACTTTTAGATCCAGACCAACCCTACTTCCAGGTGTTTTGCATGTAAACAAATGCAAATGGCCTCGGTTTCAGTAACATCAGCAAGACTATGGTTTCATCCAAAACACAGCAACTGATGTGGATGACAGATCCTAGCCATACATGCAAATCTTGGAACTGTTCAATTACTTCTCCTTACCCCTATTGCAACCTTTACAAAATTTGAGGAAAGGTATAAAAATGAAACACAACAGAACTCAAAATAAAATGTAGTATTTAATAAAAAGAAATAAGTACAAAGAAAATTGGAAAAAACAGAAACTTTTTAAAAATGTGTAAAACAAAGATGAGAGTGACATGTTAACACTTTATGAAAGAAATCCCATGGCTTTTCTTGATGATTCCTTTCAAATATCATTCTTCCAGGTGAATTCTTCTGTTTTGCTTTCATTAAAACTACAAAAATGAACAGCTGGATAAAATACACAGGATTTGAAACCACAAAAAAACAAGTAGAAGTTATGATTCAATGGAAATATGCACCTTCCCATTAAAATTAAACTACATATAGAACAGGAAAAAATTTAAACTGATTGTTGAATTTCTAGCTGTTTCTTACCTCACACCAAGAGACGTGAGGCAAACCTTCAAGCTTAATTTAATATTTAATTTAAGAATCCCGTTACATTACAATAACCAGGAACTTATTAAATAAGAAATAATGTGTAGAATTACTATAAGCAATTTGGTCTCAAAAGAAAAGAAAAGAAAAAGTGAAGTACTATCAAACAACCCCAACCAATGAGAGAGAGAGAGAGAGAAAGAGAAAGAGAGAGAGAGAGAGAGGTGGGTTTCTATTGGGGAAGACAGTTACAAATAGATTAACAGAGACTGAAACAAAATTGAGGCCAATATTTCACTACGAACAGTCAGTACAACTTGAAGTATACTCACAAATATATATATTATAATAATAATAATTAATATATTGTTACATACATTCTGAATGTCTTCATCAGAAATATATTGCCATTCTGGCTATGTTTTTCAACATGTTTTATCTTTCCATTATTACTACCAGATTTTCATACACTTCCAAAAAAAAAAAAAAGGTGGGGGGAGGAACAGCTTGAGCTCTAGAAAGCCAACGGGATCAGGGAGAGGATGTCGTTTGCTTTAAACTTTGCTAGAAAAGGTCTCAAGCTGAACTATTTTGCATAGCTGATATTACTCTACTGTTCTGCAGTTTCCTTTGTGTTACTTTTCAGGTGTAGTACAAAATCTCTGCCTCACAAAGGAAACCTTGTTTTTGCCCTGTAAGGGGACAGTGCTGTTACCATGTACATAATGGTACATTGTATTAGATTATGTACACAGCCATACCCCTTCCTTACTCTCTCAGTGGTTTCCAACCTTGGGTCCTCAGTTTTTTGTTTTTTGTTTTTGGGAGTAAAACTCCCAGAAGCCTTCACCACCAATTGTGCTGGCCTGGGTTTTCTGGGAGTTGTAGTCCAAGGACATCTGGGGACGCAAAGTTGGGAAGCAGTGTTAGAAAATATATTTAACTTAATAGAGGCACGGCCTTTTTAAGAAAAAGAAAGGAGAAAAAGTCAGATTACCACAAAGTCCTGGAAAAAAGGACTTCACTATGCCACCATTAGGCAGTTTGCTATTAAAAAGTACCTGTATAATTTTTAAAAATGAGGTTTCTTTTTCTCTCTTGAAAATATCAAGTAATACTGCAAGACGATTTTCAGCAAATTCAGACATTATCCTTGAGTGGAAAATAATGGACCCAAGGCAGCATCTTATTATCAGACCATATACAATAAACGCCTGCCAGAGAATATGAAGAAACTCAGGTCCACAAGACAGCTAAATGCTACTTCCAGAAAAGCAAGAAAAAATGCCTTTCATAGTTAAAAATAAAATAAAATATAGGGTATACTGAAGCACAGGAGGGAATTTAAGAGGAAGGCTAGAAGTTCTTTCAGACAATCATGAATTTCACACAAAGACTGGTTGGGGGGAGGGGAGAGACGTGGGAGTTTGTGGATTTTTCTCTGCACACTAAGAGATGCGTTCCATGGGGCAGGCTAATTACAGGAAAGAACTGGACAACGACACCCAAGGGCTGTTTCCACGTCTGCTAGCATCTCCACTTCTATGCGATGTGCCAGCCCAGCTGGCTAGAGCTGCTATTTTTTTGTTCCTTTCCCATTTCTTGTGGAAAGCATCAGTGCACTCTTCTGAAGCGGTGAAGTGTAAGCTAATATAAAATCTGATCAAACTCTTTTCTACTGTCAGATCATGAAACTGTTTCTCCTGATTCCTAGGGGGAAGGGAACTTTGCTCTGGAGGACCTTGAACCTAAGCAAGATTCATTTTGAATTCTAACTCATGAATGTGTTCCACCTATATCTGGATCACTTGGTCACAGTGGGCAACCGTGAGATCTCTAGATGGTCTAGTGTTCAGTAAGGTGCAAAACTACTGGAACTGTATGGGAAGCCCTTTCAAAGACTCTCATTTCAAGTGCATCTTTTTATAAAGCATCTGGCAAAAAGAGCAGGATATATTTGGAAAAATCATGGCAATTGACCACTCATCCTTTCATTTGCCCAGGAGTCTAAAGGAATTTTTTTA